TTGGTACTTCCAAGTGTCTTCACTTACCTTGGTTAAATTGTAGATGCTTTACCCATTGCTTGGATATTCTTTAATACCCAGAATGAATTCAGTAATAATTATCATTTCACTTGGGATATTACTGAATGTTGATAAGACTGAGAAATTAATATTAACAAGTATGTTTTGTACTCTTTTTTAAAAATGGAAATTTTTTTTTGTTTTTTGTTTTGTACTCCTGCATGTTGAAAGATATCAACAATTGGAAGATCAGAGTAACTCTGTGACCCAATATCTTTTATGGTGTTGCATGATGTTACAAAATTGTATAGCCATAAAAGCTCATAGGAAAGATATGTGATGAGCAAAGATAGGCTATGCTTTAGGGTTTAAGAAGTTTACTGATGTATTTCAGATTCTGTCTTGTGGTTTAGAAACCAGCCATCATTGAATTTTGGTGCAGAATTAAGGAAGAATTTTAATTATTTAGGAGAGATATTAAACTATTCCGCTTTCCAACTGTATATCTCCATAAGGACTGGTTGTTTTTTGGGGGTTGCCTTTTAAATTTATTTTAAAATGAGATGTTATTGAATATAGAAACAGAAGGATTCAGCTGTAACCTATTGATTTGAGTATTTTCAAAAACTGTAAGACATAATTTTTTCCTCTGTATTTGTTTAGAAATATAGCTTTAAAAATAATGTTATTTGTGGGAATCCCAGAACACTTGATTGAGCTTATGTGAAACCTATACTTGGACCAGGAGGCAGTCATCAGAACGGAGCAAGAAACACTGCATGTTTCAAAATCATGGAGGGTATATGCCAGGGATGTGCCCTATGTACAACAGCCCTAAACGCTGCTCTATCCTGTGCCAGTCACACTGCCTCTGACACACCCATCCCGATTACCCCAGTCACTGAATCAGTCCACCTCATGTTCCCCTCTTGTGCCATTCTTCCACCCTCCTAAGCATGATGTGCATCTCCAAGGACCTGTCACTCTTTACAGCATGTCCAAAGTATGTCAGATGAAGCCCCAGAATCCTTGCCTCCAAGGAGCAGCCTGGTTTAACCCTCTCCAGGATGAATCTGTTTGTTTTCTTGGC